ATTTTCTCATAAACTACAATCAATTCAGCCTCATTCTTTAGCTCATCAACAAGTATGTAAAAAGATCCTTTGGCAGGTGGCTTACTGTTCATTCTTTGATGCCATCCCTCACAATTATTATTGGTTCTAATTGATAAACCAAAAACTGACCAATTATTTGGTTTCCACAATTTATTTTCCATCCAATGTGTTTTGAAGTATTCTAAGAGATCCAAGAACTTATTTTTTTCAACAAGCTCTTTCTTCAAGCTGTCAAATGTTGGTTGAATAATATGTTATAACTTGCAAACGCATAGATTTTGCCAGCAAGAGCAGTACACTGGTTCTACTCAAACATTTGCATGTTAAATATAACCAAAGTTGTACACCATAGAATATAGATTTCACATATTTGAATAGTTAAACAAATTATCCTTATTCATTGTTTGGAAAGGATAGATTGTTAAATATTGAATAAAGAATACCTTTAAATATATAATACATAGGCTTGTTCTTAGTATCAGCATATTTGAATAAAAAAACCCCATTTTCTTGATTATTACCAAAATATTCCATAAATAGAAAAAAATGCAAGACCGTTGAATTTTTGAATTATTCTTCAAAATATTCAAAGAATCAGGAAGTCTTAATAAATATTTTACCTGCAAAATAAATTATTTTTAAGATTGACTTATTTGCTAAGATAGAACAAAATTGACAAAAAAGGAATATAAATTTAGTCATTTTTTTGAAAAGATAGTGTAATATTTATAATGATTAATATATATGTATAGGCCTATTGTTTAAAAAAAATTATATAAATGATTAGTTTTCCTGCAAAGAAATCAGCTACAGAATAATTTTGTTTGAAGAAATAAATAAAATGAAATTGTTAGATTATTTTTTAATTTTCATTTCTTCAATAGTTCTTTATGTAAATGGATTGGAAAATTTTGAATTAACTAATAACCAAAATGGATTATTCATTTCTGAAAAAAGTTTTAGAAATATTAAAGAATTGAAAGATATTTCTTGTTCTTTTAATCGTAATTCATTATGTTTCTACAATGCAACATCAAATATAAAAGATTCCATCTGGAAAACAACTGCCTTTTTAAGAACTGCAAAAGGTTTTATCAGACCACGGAAACATTTTGGTATATAGTTATTTTTTTCTCAGTTGAGTAATACATTAATAATTTCACTATTTATTTAGTATATTCAGAAAAATTTGCATATATTTCCTTCAAAAGTCTTGATAAAAATTTAAAAATGTCCTTTCAAAGTCCTCTCTTTTTTTCTGCTGGTGTGAAATGTATTCAATTCTATTACTTTATACTTGGAACATTCAAAGGGCATTTGACAGTTGATTTAAAAGAAATAAATCGAAATAAATCAAGAAAATTATTAGATAAATCTTTTACAAATCATTCATATTGGAAAAAAGTAAATATTCAACTATTAGAAAATGGATTATATAAGGTAAAATACTACCAGTTTATTTTATTTTAAAATATTAAATTTTAATTCTTTTTATTAAAAAACATAGTTTAGTGTTAATTTTAAAACTGAAGGAATTTCTCATGGAAGTTTAGCTATTGATGATTTTTTTATTGTTAATTGTCAAAATGGTAATTATTTAAAAATACAAAAATTACTAAAATGTAATTTTGATGATGGTACAATATGTAACTATAAAATTGGAAATATCTTTGGAAATTTAACTTGGAAATTGGCAAATAGATTTATAGAAAATGGCAATTTAATTACTGATATGAATGGAAAAGGTAGTTCTATTTATTAGGTTGATATTGAAGTTTTAGTTTTTTTCTTTTCTTTCTTTTTATATGTCAATAGGGAAATTTTTACATGTTATTTCAACACCTTGTTATACATATCAAAAAACAAGGCTTATTTCCCCTAAAATTTCAATACTTGAATCTGGATACAAATATATTTTCTACTATTATATTATTGATTTTGTACATGCTAGATTTAGAATATTTATACCTGGACTAAGTTCTTTAAATCTAAAGTATCGTCTAGACATTAATCAATTGAAAAATACAAACAAAAAATGGTTTAAATATGAAATTCCTTTACCAATTGGAGAATATTCTGTAAGCAAAAAAAAATTGCTATCTAATTATAAAAAATTTTTATAATATTTCATTTTGAATTTAGATTGAATTTGAAGTTGATTGTTTCCACAATGTCAAGAATTTAAATATTTCAATAGATTCAATTAATATTGAAAAGGATCACATGGAAAATTCAAATTCAACAATTTCTAGAAATATTAATCCTAAACATTTAGAAATTGTCAATTGTGAATTTGAAAGTAATCTTTGCAATTACGAATTAATATTATCGAAAAATGTAAGTTTATATGAACGATCTCAATGGTTTTTAAAGAATGGTGGAGTTGAAGGAAAATCTGGCTATGAAATAACTGAAAAACCAGGTTAAATTATTAATATGTCAATATATTAGTAATTTAATTAATTAATTATTAATCCATTTACAGGAGGGTTTTTCTTTTCATCTTCTCTGTTTTTATGTGAAGGAAGAACCCCAATTCTGGAAAGCCCAATGATTACTATAGAAAATGTTGGACACACATTTTCATTTTATCATTTCCTCAGTGGTGGAGTAAGGAATGCAATCTATGCAACTATCAATGGAAAAGTGTATTATTATTTTAATAGGTATTGGCAAGGGTTTCTTCAGAGTGGTTACTGGAAAAAAGCAGTTTTACATCTACCAATTGGAACTTATAAAGTAAAATTTGTTACCTTAAATATTTCTTTTTTATCTATATAAAATGTTTGTAATTTTATCAGATAAGAATTGAACTTGATTGTACAACTCTTTGGACTCATTCAGTAGATTTAGACTCTTTTGCCATTAATAGAGATCCAATTCCAACAATATCACCAAAAACAACAAAAACAATAACACCAATACTAAAACCCACAAATAAACCAAAAACCTTAGCAGATTATCTGGAATGTAATTTTGATGATAAGAATTTTTGTTTTTATCGTGCAATATATTTAATGAAAGTGAATGCCTATGATGAAAAGTATATATGGACTTTTCAAAAAAGAAATTCTGGAGTATTAACTAGGCCTAATTCTGATGTTAATGGATCAGGTAATTTTATTAAAAATATATTTTTTCCTATTAAAAATGTATACTTTTTCAATGTCAAGGTTATTATTTGTATTCTGGTCCAGGAAGATGTTATAGCAATTATGTTGCAATCCACTTATACAGTCAAGTAGTTAATGTAAATCAAACTGGTTATAGATTTTCATTTTATTACTATTTGGAAAATGTTAAAGGAATGCGCATCTCACTGAGATTTGGTATAAAACAAGTTTTTGTTATAGATAAAGATGAACACAATAGAAAGAACATAACGTCGAATAAATGGAACAAAATAATGCTTGATCTACCAATTGGAAAATATTATGTAGGCCTATATAGAAATTATTCCTTTTAACCAATTTTCATTTGAAATATATATGTTTTTCTTTTAAAAGATAAAATTTTCAGTTTATTGTTCAACAGTTAATTCAAATGGAAACTTTGCTATAGACTCTATTGTAGTTGATAGAGCTTCACCTGCAACACTAATGCCCAGTTCAACTAAACAATCTGAAAGTAATTGAATCCTATTCTAATAGGAGAGAAAATATGCTCAATATGCTTAGGCCTATAGATTTAAGGTTGGGATGATAAGATTAAAAAAAAAAGAATAAAAGATTTTAACATAACTTATCGCCTTAAAGGCTAGGTCAAAACTAGAAGAAAATTGGAGATATTTTCTATCTTATCTACTATTCATAAATGTGTTAATTAAATTTTTAACTGTGTATTAACAAATTAGGCAAAGTTGGTTTGAATTATGAAAGATGTGGATTACAGAGTGATTCATCATATATCATTGGTGGAAATCCATCGAGAATAGAAGATATTCCTTGGCAGGTAAAATATTTTCTATTTTCTTTCTTCTTGAAAATTTTTTTAACTCTCCAAAAAAACTATTAAAAGATAATGTTACTTCAAACTTATAATGGAATAACAACATATAGTGGTGCTGTTCTCATTCATGAAAACTATGCCTTAACTACAGCCAGTGTTGTCAATAATCAGTAAATATCTCTGAAATTGATTGATTTTATGTTTTTCTCCTTCTCTGCTCAATTATTATAGATATGCAACTTATAGAATTTTGGTGGGAACAGATTCTTTTGTTGGAGGCAAAACCTATGAAATTTCCAATATAATTAAACATCCAGAATTTGGTCAGGGTTTGGGTAATAGCATTGCTCTTTTAAAATTAAAGAGTAATGTACAAATGTCACAAAAAATCAGTACTGCCTGTGTTTTAAATACAACTCTAATTGGTTCTGAAAGTCATAACTGCTACATTTCAGGCTTTGGAAGATTATTTCCAACAGAATGTAATTTTTTTTCTTTTAAAACTATTTAAATTATTAATTTTATTTTTCTCTTTTTTTTAAAAAGTTCGTCTTCCACAATTAAGAAAAGCAAATCAAAAATTGATAACAAAATTACAATGTAATAAAAAAATACCAATTGTTAATTTGAATTATGACAAAATAATGTGTTCAATTGGAGAATCAGGAGAACAATCATGTATTGTATGTAAAAATCAAAATCATTGAATTTCTTTTGTATATAAAGTTGAATTCTGTCCTTATTTTTTGAAAAAGGGTGATTTAGGTGGTGGATTATTTTGTAAAAGAAACAACAGATGGACATTGGTTGGTATACAATCAAATTTTATCAAAGGATGCAAATATGGATTAACTATTAGCCAACAAGTTGGATCATTTTACAGTTGGATAGAGCAAATGATATCAAATGAATAAGAATGAAAAATTAATACCAATTTTTTTAAATATATTATTGTACTTTGTTTTTATTATTGTAGGGAATAAATTCCTTTTAAAACTTTAAAAAAACTTTATGAAAGCTAATTGAATTATAACTTGGCTAAACAATAATGTAATTTGCTAAGTGGTTTGTAAGTAGCATAGGCCTATAATAGTTTGAAGCACAGGAATATTATATATATATATATATGAAAGTTGTCTCAGAATTTCCTAACAAAGCAAAGTGTATCTGCTATGTTGTGTGTCAGGCATTAAAGTTGGACAAATAAACTTCACATCATCGTAGGTCGACATCAGAGATGCTGTGATATTGTCAAGTTGAACAATGTAAGGCGGATGTAACACAATACAAGTAGTGTTGAGAACCCAATTAGGAGACACAAACATATGGTCAAGTATATAAAGAGTAAATGCAACACACTAGTGGTGAGAGAAACAAAGGAATTATAAATAAAATTGAAACGAAATTGTCAGTAATTTCGTGATACAAAGAGACCAGGATACCAGACTTTATTTGTACAATTGCTTTTAAATAATTCGAAAACATGCCTTCCAAAAAAACTTAGACCTTATTTGTATTTAACTTTTAGAGTAGTGCTCATTCAAACAACAACCTTGTGATGGAGCAAAAATTTCTCTCTGATTCAAATAAATAAATAGATGATTTCCACACAATTCAGATCAATATTAAATCTTCATAAGTGAATAAATATCTTAAATGAACTAATTTAATGGTAGTTCTAAACCCAGAATGATAATCCTAACCCTAATTTGTATTCAAAGTGGCACTAAGTGCATAAATGCCTAATGGACCATAGGTCTATATATGTATATATAATATTTAGCAAGCTGTTACCAATAGAGGTAATTTTCATTATTTGTATAATGTGTTGTAGCCATGCCCAAAAGTATTTAAACAATCTACAAAGATTAGCACACTCACTTTGTTGATTAATTTAAAAATCATTTATACTGGTTTTGACAACTGCTAATTTAAGACTGTTTTATTAAACTTGCTTACTGCATAATTATCCTTTTTACCCAAAGAAAAGAACAAAACACTACAATCAACGAAGTTCAGTCTTCACCTCAATAATGAATCCTTCTTTTTTAGTTGATCCATCAGTTTAATCATTAGAATTCACTATTTCTCTTGCTTACCTCATACTTAGTCATCCTAAATCTATCAAATCTTAAATTAGTCACAAAGAGAATTGGTTAAAAAATTTATAAATCGCATCTGTAGATTAGTAAATCAAAAGAAATTGAATTTCAAGGAAACACTAAGAAAATGTGTATTCTCAAATAGATGTCTTCTCTACAAATCCAGCTTTTTTAGTTGACTAAATTGACATTCTATTTGGGCTAGCATTCAGAACAATCTTTATCTAAGCCCCCGCAAAAATATATAATGATACTTAACTGTTTTAAAGTTAATTTGATATTTCAAAGGTGTGTTTTGATTACTGTTAATAAATTAATATAATAAAAAAATGACATAAGGAGAACAATCATGATAATTAATCATAAATGAAAATGAAAATGTTTTTTTATATATTTGAGTTGTAAGATGAATTTTCTTATCTAATTGACAATGAAAAATAACTATTTTCTAATTTATTTATTGTTGCTCATTGATAAAAGCCATTTTGAAAAAGTAAGTACAGAAATATAAAGAAAGGAAACTACTGTTTTATTTATATATTTCAGTTTCTCTTTAACTTTGAAAAGAAAAATTTAGATATTTATAATAAACAATGCAATTCAAATTACTGTTATGGTTTGGTAATTTTTATGGAACCTACTGGGGACTGGATTGTTAAAACCAAATTTTCTATTCATTCTAGAAAACTATTAACTATTATATGCAAAAATATGGGTTATGATAATTATCATGTATATGGCTATACCTGTGATAAAAAGTGTAAAATTTCATACATAGACAAGAATAGAGGTTGTTGCAAAGCTGCCCCTCTTTTTGGGTTGATAAATTCATCACTCAAATAATGCATTTATTTGGGTTAATTATGTAAAATTTCGGGCCTTTTCAACAATATTTCTCACCAATCATGAAGGATTGTATACAAAATACTAGCAATCATTTTTTACAGATAATACAGAAAGGATACTTGGTATGTTCTATGATGAAAAGGCTAATAATGCCTATATAGTTCTTAAGGATATTGGTTTTATTCAATTTTGTGTTAGGTGTACCAGTTTAAATTCAAACTGTTAATTTTTTTTTCTTTCTGCAAAACTGTTACTCTATTTAAAAAAATTAATCAAATTTAACATTTCTTATCAGATTACTATATTACTTCTAAAGAAGATGTTCTTAGTAAAAAAAAATCAAAATTGATTCCTGTTTATAATAGGTCTAATGGTTTGTCAAAAGCTTTTTGTCTGATTGACTCATCAGTAGTTGGAAATTGTAGCAATATTGTGAAATTTTCCCAAAAATTTTTCAAAGATCAAGATAATATTAGTGTCAGTTTTAATGAGAAAACTATTCCAAGATGTGCACAAGATTTTTGTACTACTTTAGAACATGGTACTAATGACACAATAGTTTGGGGGAAAGAATGGCCAATTTCCAATAATCAAATATATTATGAGCCCAAACAAACAGAGACACTTATTCCAATGAAATATTCCAAATATTCAAATGAATATTTGCCTATACTTTTTCAATATAGCAATTTAAAAATTTTGTATAATAATCTTATGACAGTTTGTAAACAATTTTCTAAACATTTCGTTAGAGTGTATCAAGGCGAGAAAACTTTCAAATATGCTCATTTTTGGTCACTTGAACTTGGTGACTATCCACAAAAAGTTATTGAATGTTTAAATGTTGAAGAGAAATTAGATAATTGTAAAAAAATTGATACACAAATAAGATACTATGACCATTTTATACTGAAAATAAAATGTTTTCATCATCCAACTAAATTTTTAAGAGACGCTTCTAGTAAATTCAATTCAAATTATATTCATAAAATTAAAAATACATTTCTGTTATATAGATTTAAAATTTCAACTAATAGACAACAATAACAATATCATGTTGCAGTCATCATCCAAAAATGTTCAAAGTTTTATTGGAGTATTACAAGTTCTAATTGAAGGTTTTTGGTACAATGTATCATCTCTAAAAGTTGATGAATATGGAATCAATACTATATGCCAACACTTTAACTTTAACAGTGGAACCATTTATAAACAAATGAAAAATGAGGAAAACAATATTTATATTTTTTCTTTGAATTGCCCAAAATATGAGAGAAATTTAAATAAATGTTTAATAGAGAATTTTATGGAACCTTGGCTAGATGAAACAATGGGTTTAACAGTAATGTGCTCCAAAAGAGTTGTTAAATGTAAACATTCAAGAGAAACTAAAAATTCAAAAGTATTTAATTACTTGAACAGCTGTTATTACCTTTATGAATTCAATAAAACAGTGTCCTTTAACAATGGTGAAGATTTATGTAGTAAGAATAACAAGACATTAGTAGGAATATCCTCTAATGATGAAGCTAGATTTGTTGAAAATATGTTAATATCTGTAATTTTTAATTCTTTAAATATAACAAACAAACTGGAAATATTAGAAAAATTCAAAACAAGCTGGAAAATTCCAGTAGGTTCATTACCAAAGTCAACAACAAATGAACTAACAAGAAATACTGACAATATAACATATACATTTATTGGCATGTGGCACATTGACGCTAAAATAGATTCAAAGTATACCAGTTTATTTTTTTTCTAAACTGTTGAAGAAAATTGACAAATAGACATTTAGTAGACAGTTAGGATTAAGGATTGGGATTAGGCGGTTATAATTATCTAAATTTTGATTAAAAATTGAATTGAGAATATGAACAGGTGGCACAGAAAATCCTTTCTGTCAACTAAACTCTATAGCTCATATTGGCTCATCTAACCACACTAATTTTTACTTTAAAAGATGTTCTTTAAAGAATTTTGAACCAAAACCATTTTGGTATGAGAAGCCTTGTACTTATCTGAAAAAGTATAAACAATTTAAATATTATGGAGTTTTATCAATTGTATGCAATGATAAATTATTTAAATATATAATATGTGAAGAGAAAACTGGTAGGAATAGTAATTCAAGAGAAACCAAAATTTGAAAAAAAAAAAACACAGATTTTTTGAATATAGAAAACTTAAGAAAATCAAATATAAATGCAATGTTGGCAAATACTGAAAAATTATCACAAATTAGTCCAAAAACAAGACAACATATCTTTGCTTGCAATTCAGGAGAGTTTATAAGTATTCTATACAAATGTGATGGTAATAAAGACTGTTTTGATGGTTCAGACGAAAGAAATTGTACAATAAATAAATTAGGATTTTTTCAATGTGATGAAGGAAAGAAGAACATGAGCATAAATTATTTCTGCAATTTTGAAAATAACTGTTTAGATAAAACTGATGAAATGTTTTGCTGTAAAAAAAAAAAGAAAAAAAAAATATTTTTCAAACAATCTAAAATAGAATAATTTATTTTTTAATAGATTTTCAAACTTGTAAAGAAAGACATTTGTAAGTAATTTATTAATTGATAAAACTAAGAAGCAAAATTCATTTACAACTTTTAATCAATAATATTTCTTATAGCACATGCAATAATAAGCAATGTTTGGATAGAAAAGATCAATGTGATATGAATATGGATTGCCTTGATGGTAGTGATGAGACATCTTGCTATAAGATAACGATACATATACGTAAGATATCATTCCATTTTCTTAATTTTGCTTTATAATTCTATTGAAATATTCTTTTATTAATCTCTTTATTAAGCTGACTTACCAGTAAAAAGATGTAAGAACAGATTTGTTAAAAAAAGCCAAATTTGCGATTTTAAACCTGATTGCATTGATATGTCTGATGAAAATTTGGACTATTGCCAAAGTAAGAATATTTATAAATATATGAAAAAAAAAACAAACAAACTTTAAACAACAAATATAACAATTAGATTATAATGAAAAATGGGCAAAATCACATTGTCATAGTTTATATAGCTCTGAAAATGTGTCACTAATGACTAGTCAATATTATAGTAAGTGTTGAAATTACCATTTAGATATTTAGTTCTAGTAAATGATAATTTTTGTATTAAAAAACAGGAGAATTTGAAAAATATTTATTTGAAATTAGAACTGATACAGGTAATATATAATTTTTAAATAGAAAGAGTACCAGTTGAAATAAAGAGAAATGCGTTCTATTAAAGAATTTTCATGCTATTTAAAATATTCTGGAAATAATTACAATGAACTAAAAAAGACAAATCCACCATGGAATAGTCTAAGTTTTTGTAATGTAAATAATAAATGTCAGAAAGGATATTTCAAATGTGCAGTATATAATTATTGCATAGAAACTGTTATGATTTGTAATGGAATAGTAGACTGTATTTTGGGTGATGATGAAATAAATTGCAGTAACAAAGAATAAATAGAATAAATCTAGCCATTTCTTTTTTTTTTTTACAATTATTTGTCTTAAATTCATAGATAATTTCAATTTAAAAGGATTTTATCACTGTCACAATTCATCAGTATTTATTGATATGAGATATGTTTTTCCCAGAAAAAAATCTTTAATACAAAGTCAATCATCAAAATCTTGCCCACAATTTGATAATGTTAATAATTTAATAAGAAATACAAGTGTTTTCTGTACAAAAAATTGTCAATGCACACCAACATTTATTACATGTAGAGAAAAATTCTCAATGGTTAAAAAGGATAGATCCTTGTTTAAGAGTATACATTTTCATGATTTAGAGATAAGGATTGAAGATGCTCTCCACTACTTGACTAAAAAATCTGAATATCATCTCATTCAATTATCAATCTATAATTCAAATTATTCCAGTAAAACAGATATTTCTCCTTATATTAATTTAAAAATTTTACATATTGAAAATAATCCAACTTTAACTGAAATTAATGAGAAAACCTTTAACAGAATTGATAACCTAATTTATTTAAATATGATAAAAAATGATATAAAAAATATTGATGATAATGCTTTTGAAAATTTTAAAATTTTAAAATTTCTAGATTTATCTTATAATAAAAATTTAAATAATTTGAAAAAAATAATTTTTAAACCTTTAAGATATTTAAAAACTTTAATTCTGGAACATTTAATTTTCCATCATTTAGAGATTGATGCATTTAATTATTTAGGTTATATGCTTAAATTGAATATGACAAATACAAAAATTCAAAATATGGGAACAATAAGATCAAATCTCTTTAAATTTAATGATAATTTACAAATTTTACAAAGTGATTATAGTATGCTTTGTTGTTTTGCAAAGAAATTTCGAAAAATGACCTACTGTAAGCCTAGTTCAAGAATTTATTCATTTTGCGGTGAATTAATTAATTCTTCAATACTTAAAGGTATATTTTAATTAGGATAAAATTGATATCTCTCCTTATCTATTACTCATTTTGTTTTGTCTTTTAAGCCTTAGCCTATGTCTTAGTAGCAATTGGTCTAATAAATAATATTATATGCATTATCACCCGAATTTTTATGTTTACAAGGCCTACAATTCTCTTGTATCTACTATTAGCGATATCAGATTTAGCCTATAATTGCTATCTATTAGTAATAGCTGTCTATGATGGAATTTTTGGAAGAGACTACCCAGAGAATGATTATTCCTGGAGACACAGTATCATTTGTAGGTCATTGGGAATTATAAGTAGTTCTGCTTGCTTAATATCAATGTTTACTTTGCTTTTAATAACATTTGAAAAGCTTGCCGCAGTTGAGCGTAATAATAAAATTTTGAATTCAAATTATTTATCAATTCTATTGCTGTTGGCATTCATTCTGATAAGTGCAGTAGGTGTATCTTCATTCCCCTATTACTATTATAAGGTTCTTAAAATAAACTGGTAAATCTAACTTTATTGAATTTTAGAGTGGTTTTTTTTTTCTTTTTAGAATTTCTCTGCAAGATATCCTC